CACTGTACGAAGGCTCCCTCTGTACGAATCCACCCCACTCTCCCCTATTGTGCAAACGTTTAAAATTAAACTATATAAAATATGTTCGTCTGCCGCCGAATTTTAGTCGAACGTAAACTACGACTCAAAAAACGCTACGCGCAACTACGCTCGTCTGGCCTCACCCTAAGTATATGAATAATAAAATTAACGCAACTGCACGCATAAATTGTGACCTCACAATCTGTATTTAAAAAATGAACACGTTTCGAGTCTTTAAATATGCGTAACGAGAAATTGGGATTTTCCAGCGGTGTGTTTACGTTGTTGGATGATATCATCGTATGGCAATACGTGAGCAGTTTTGGGTCGAGGCATACAAGACTTGACAGCATTGTGGCAATATGTTCCCGAGTTTTAATGGTTTTCTGGTGCTCATCACTAAAACATTCACGTCAAAAGACGAATCATTATTTTGCTTTAGGAATATGTACCTACACAGTAATCTCGGCAGGTTTTATTTACAACAAGTTACTTACCGGAGTTCAGGTGGCCGGGGAATTTGATTAGAATCTCGAGTTCGGTTTTTGCGATTGTTATAGGAAATGTAACTATTTTTCATTGTTGACTGCCGTGAGTCAGCCGTGACCATCGGACCTGTAAAGCTTTGGTTTCTTTGAAAAAACAAATATGCTCATTTTAGATCCGAGAAACAGTTTCATTTCGGCAAGAAAAGGATTTCTAGGGATATCCCAGGTGTTATCATGCGATGTCGCTGGTGTCCTATTACTTTTTTATGCACTTTTTTTTAATACCAAGTGACGGGACGAACAAGTCGTACATCTGGTGGTAAGCGACACGCCTGTCCATAACTGTTGCAGTACCACTCAGAACTTTAAAACGCAAAGATGTTTTGTTAGATTGTGGGCACTGCCACTGCGCCCGTCATCCTGAGACATAAATTGACAAGTCCTATTGTGCCTGTAATTTCACCAGCACCTCTACCCTTCAAAACCGGAGCAGTAATGTTCACATTAATAGAAATAGGTAAAGTGGCAATACTTCCCTGGACGAGCTCTTTCACAAAGAGCTCTATTGCTACTAACTTTACCAGTCTTTGTTTCCCTTTCTTGTTTTCTACCCATTCAGCTTTCTTCCAAGTTTTAACCTCATTAATCTTGTTCTTTTTTAACATTTCCCACCAAATTTTGAATATGATATTTACTAACAATGTTACATTGAACAAAGCCGCTTGATTTAAACTTGAGATTTAAAATCTATATCATTCCCTGTATACCTACCTATCTTATTTGGTCAAAACTTTTACTGGCCCAAGCCTATTGGCCGCCATAAAGGAAGTGTTAATAATAATCTTATTTGTTAATAAGTTCTAACGGCGATCATTAAGTTAATTAGTTATTTGTTTGATCAATCAAATTTGATAGACACGTTCTTAAGTGACCAAATGACGTATGTATATGTCAGCAGAACACGAAATTGGGGTTTTCCAAATATTAACCGATTCGATGACATCACGCAATGTGTTTCGTGATCTGCACGTAGGTGTTCTTGTGTTATAGTATCAGTAAGAGAGCAAGGCTGTGACGGTGTAAATGTTTACAAAGACATTATCCACTTTAGCACCTTGGCCTTATTCCTGACTAGATATATCAGTACAATTGGGAGATACGAGCGATAGCCTCGCCTATGCTATGCATCGACGTTTTGTTCATTGCGGGCGAAGATAACGTATAGAGGTATAACCCATTACCCTTTTTTATACTGCCCTCCATGTCGTAACTAACGCATTTTGTATTTTGATAGGTAACTTTTGAGATATTGCCTTTAGTTCTTTTTTCTTTCAATGTCCATTTTTTACGCTGAATTCGCTGAAATTAAATAAGATTGTAGACTCATTTCGCTAAAAATATCGATTACGTTAGACATAAAACTTATAAATAAGGAAGGCTACACGGGCTACACCGACGTTTCATTTGATACAGGCAAAGACAACGTAGATATACCTACACCTATATATCTCGTCCCGTGTTTTTATTTGGCCTATTCTATTAGTCACTACCAGCTGTCCCTCCTGCAGGGCTAGCACGGTAAGGCGCGACCGCTTCTTGCCCGTGAACCACCTG